GAAAACTGCATCTTGTGCCTTTGCCAAGACTACATTTTATTGCCAGCCTCCATTGTGCCCTCTGATGACATGGCATTGAAGGCTGATCACCTGTGATAGAGTCTAGCCGAGGTGCAGATTAAAAGTACAAATCACATTGTAAATGACTGAGCTGAGTTGCACTGTGTAACCTCCATCTAGGTCCGTGCTCCTGTTTCCAATTTCTCAGCTTGACTCAAAGAGAAGAGATAGCAGCACAATGTGGGGACCAAAGATCAGAGGAACTGTGATAGTGTGAAGCTCTAGTACACCACTGAGAGAGGTTATTAAAGCAGGTGTCCTGCCTCTGAACACATGTGGTTGGATCTGATCCTTCTTAAATTCTCTCCTCTTTCAGCGACATATGGAAGCAGGTCAAGGAGCACCTCTGACAACATTAATTTCCCCGCACATGGGATGTCTCCTGTGGCAAGGAGCTAAGTGCTGCTCTTTTTCAGTCATGCCACAATGTTCCCACCAGTGAATAAAATGTCATATAGCTGATGAGTGTCATCTCAGTGATCCATGAAGCTCACCAAACCAAGTTCCCTTAGAGTGAGGAGGATAACATGATGTTTTTGGCCCAAGTATAATCTCAGCATGGATCTACTGCTACCAGAACTGTGCTGACAGAGCACAGAGGGGAAGGTCATTTTAAAAACCACATTAGTCATCGAAATGTGAGCAGTAAACAATGACCCAAGATGATGCTGAGATTTGATGGACGTAGAGGTCGGCCTCAACAGATGACTCCATATTGACCAAATGGGAAGATGAAGAAGGTGGGGGTGGGGCTACGGCTGCTGGATGGTGTACCAGCGCTCTCTTCCTCCCAGACTGGGAGATGAGGACAACTGACAAATGAGTGCACAGATGCTGGGTAGAGCTCATGAGAAGACTGGGCTGTCTGGAGGCATAGCACACAAAGTGGGATGGTTGGCTCAGGTTGGGACTCGTTTCTCTCTCCACAGAACATCAGCTGTCTCCAGCCCACAACACGCAAGTTGTTCAAGGCGACATATGGTTGAGTACCATGCATGTCTGCATGGTGACACATTGATGCTGTGCCTCCTTTTCCAATTCTTTTTCATTGGTCATGGCACACTGTGTATTTAAAGTTCAGGCTGTCAACTTTAATTTAAGGATAATGACTGGCTGGTTGCATTGTTAAAGAACTCCAGTTGTCTATTTACTGACATACCCTCAACATCTCATGTGTGTCATATTAATGTTATGCAAATAAAAATATGAAATGAGGCTGAAGACATTAAGCAAAAAGGCTCCAAAGAGAATTCAACACAGAATACTGATTCTACATTTAATTACAGGCTACTTTGTACTGTATCCATCAAAATACTATTGAGACCCCCCCCCCAAAAAAGTGGAACTGTGTCCAAAAATGGTTGCAACTCTTCAGTCATTCATCTAATGTGGCTATAAAAGCTTACATTCACTTCATAATCTGACGTTTTACATCCAAAGTGCTAGGAGTACTGAGCCAAAATGTTAATGTACTTCTGTGCCAATGGAGCTGTTGGAACTCACTCTTCATGTATATGCACATTCCACTATCCTACCCAGACTTCCCCCTGCAACCCTCCCAGAGGTTTGTAAAAATGGCAGAAAGCTTAATGTCTGTGACAGCAGGCGTTACACTGGAGGAGAGCGACTTTGATGAGTCCCATGCTTTTAGAGGTCTCTTTTGTTAGCGGGAAGCAAATCACGCTTTACAAGATAAATCATCCCACTAGCAGCCAGCTATGACTGTGTACAACCAGATAAGGTTGCCAAGGAAACCCTCCTGGAGAACCAATGAGTTTTTTCTCCATACCAGTCTCCTTTATCTGTATAAACAATTTATACCTTTTCTAGGCAGAAGAGAGGAGGCTGGGGGAATGGGAGCCAAGCACAAATCCCCGGGTGCATAGCACAACACCACTCTCTCCCTTCAGCTTTGTGGATGAGGACACAAGTTAAAAAAAAAAAAAAAAAAAAACAATACAGGACTGGAGGACCTGGGGGAGGGGATGGCATGGCTCACTGTGCATTCATTCAATGAGAGAACAGTGTTTAGTCCATAAATCTAATCTGCACACATGCAGAAACATGCATCACTAATGTCCTTTTAATGAATGTTTTGAATGTTCAGCCATAAAAGTGGCTGGGGAAAACATCTATTACTGTGACAGCTGTGATTGTGCTGGTGTCACTGCAGCTGAACAAACCCAGAGTGCCCCTGATGTGGGGAGCAGCCAGGGAGCCATTAGGATCCATGAGTGACTTCGACTAGCCACTGATCAATGCTCTGGAGCCCTATCTATTACTGACATTCAATTATAGCAATGGAGGTCCACTTAGCACTGTTAAGAAGTGCTTCAAGTCCTTTTATTGACTACATGTCAGTGGCCTCCACAGTTGAGATATTGGCTAATAATCAGCCATCCATATATCAAGATCAGCAGCACGCTGTACAAAGTGAGAGAGGAGGGCAAGTGCTCACAATAGAAAGGCATAATACTACCACATGCATGATGTGCCTGCCAGCCACTAACTGGGGACATCATTCAGCATAATAAACTAGAAAGCTAATTTTATACAACTTTGATTAGTGCTGGCTTGTAACAAAAGTATTTACCCACCACATTAACTAAGGGAAGAAACTGGATGTAATTGAAAAAAGCTAATGTTGAAACAAGTGGCCTTGATGCCAGGGATAATACAGTGCAGCAAAGGAATGACAATCAGGCCTAGAGCATGAGGGGATGGCATAATGGTACCGTTAGGAGAGCTGGGTCACAAACCTTTGTTTATTTGGAGCTGAATGGCAAGCACTGGAGACAGCAGCAGGTGATTGTGCCTGCCAGCTTCATTGATTAATTACAGTCATTAAGTGGTTAGAAAGTCACCTAACCTGGTGTACGGGGTGGAATTCACCAGCTGAGTAAAATTAATCACGGTCAAAAAGCTGCAGGCCTCCAGAGAGCTCGTGCCACCGGAAGGGGGAGAAATAAAGTTATATTGATGCTCAAGCCAGCAGCTCCTACTGCTCCTGTAAACAAACAAACGGCTGGCTGGTTTGATCATTTTAAAGAGTTTTATTAATCAAAAAGCACAAGACACAAAAGAAAAATGGGTTTTCACACAGTATGCAAACCTCAAACTTCATACAATTTTAGTACAGATTTATAGGCTAGCTAATATTGTTAGTGGCCTAGTAGTTGTCAATGTTCAGAGCACATAGAGGGACAGTAGAAGGGTTAACCTACCTACGAGCTCTGTAGATGTAGGAGGAAAATCTAACTAGAATTCTACAGGGGCCTATTCTGACTCAGCAAACTCCTTACATTCTCTCTCTCTCTCTCTCTCTCACACACACACACACACACACACACACACACTCCTGTTCAAAAGCAAGCTGACATTTGTCAGTTAGAGGCAGGCCCAGGTCTGACTGTCCTTAGTGTTAGAACCAGGTGCAACTTCAAATTTGCCAGAAAATAGAGGCCAAGATGTTTCCACAATGTGACCTTTACCTCGATGCTAGAATTCACCCACAAAAACTTCCAGCATGCATACTCTCAAATGCAAGCACAATGCAAGAAATTCCCAGTTAGAGCAGGGAGCATTTACACTGTACTGATAAGCCCCTCCGCTTATTTTGTAGATATAGATTTGCCAAGCACAGCACGGCAGAGAATCACATGTACATATAAACATCATCTTTATATCATCCAGCTGTGTTGTGATTAGATAGGGTCACAGAATATTTCTACCTACTGCCAGGACATTTATGTTAAAAGATTTTAAAAAACTAAATCATGAAGTCATATTCTGGAATACAAACGCAGACCGAGATAAAGCTCTGGGGACATTTCTGTGAGGTGATGGGGTGTGAGAGATCATAGACTTAACCTGATCGAGGCAACAGAAAACAATCAGCCGGCTCACTGATTATTATACTGTTCTAGTGACTGGACTATGGCGCCCACTGGGATGATGCGGTTACTGATCACAGCACATTGGTGGACATGCTACGACAACTCAACCGGGGCAACAAGGCACAAGAGAAGCCATTAGCCGTGAGGGCTGTGCAGAGGTAAACTGAGAGGAAGGCTAAAAATAAGGAACAGAATAAGGCTTCGGAGCAAAAAGAAACAATTTACCCAGTCTAAGAATTTTTTTTTTTTTTTTTCCTCCAACAGACAAGATGAGATGTTGGGTTTCCAAACAATGGACGAATGGGCAGGGTTAAAGAGTGGAATGCTTACTAAAAAACATTTACATGATATGACAAACTGCAAAAAGACATCAAACTGAAGTGGCTATAATGTTGATACAGAGAAACAACATTCAGTATTTTCTTCATACACACAGGTTTTACATCCTTCACTTGTAAAGCCATGAAAGGTTTCACACTGACCACACAGGGAACGGTAATCAAGATCTTGGCTCCTTGTATGTGCCCACAAATAAGGAGTATGCATACATACCTCTGAGGGAGGTGACTGATATGGCATATGATCAGTTAAGACTTTGGGCACTTGTTTTACTAATAAAGTGTGCGTGTGTTTGGGGAGGCCCAGAGCTTCATGTGGTTGGGCTACTGGGGACAGTCAAACACTATTTAATTTGATTGCTCAGTGAACCTTGTTATCCAGCTGCCTGTTATCTCCCTGTGTACTACCTCCTCTGGAGAAGTGATGGGGGTTGGACACTGGTCTTTAACTGTTTTTCAAGCCTGGTCACATGATGTGGTGGCTTGAACCTCCCCCTCAGCCAATCATGTCAATTTCAGCCCCCACCGCAGCCCAGACTGGAAAATTCAAATAGCGACTGGTTCAAAAGAAAATGCCTCACCCCAATTGACATTTTTCAGCTTGGTCCAATTCAAACCTGTGAATTTTCTAAGGCTTTAAGTTTGTCCAGAGGTCAGTCCATCTCATTTTATAATAAATGTATGGAATTAAACATTTGCCAGAGAATAGCAAAGAATGTTTATACTGGTATGCAGGCATTTTAAAAACAATGTATGAATGTTTCCCCAGACCCCGTTCACATACATAAACTTATTTTCACACACACAATTTTATACACATATGCATGCATACAGCTGTAGAGCTGGCCAATTAAGGACCTGGGTCTGTTTTTTTAGCATATAGTATCTCTACAGTAGGGGAGATCAATTAAAAAATACATGCATTCACAGTACAGTATTATTTGTATATTGACCAGGTTGCATTGTAGCCACACCAACTCATTTTTTGTGAGAAAGTCCAGGGAATAAAATTCATAAGGTTTTAAAAAAACAAAAAGTAATAAAAAGTTCATGTGCTCTGTTGTGATTCCAGCAAAATTTCTTTTCTCAGCACCCCAGCAAACCCAGGCCTTCATAAGGAGTATTATCCCATTTGTAAATAATGAAGAGCTACAAGTAAGGTAAGTCAGCCCATCGCAGCGCTTGCTCCATCTTCACTGGATTGTGTCCTAGTCCCTTCCTCCATTCCCTTCCCTTGTTGTATGGTCCCTTCTCAAGATGAGGACACACTACACAATTGAGCCATCCCTGTTCTGAGCGGGGGTCATGACGGCGATGCCTCCCATGCGGCTGAGGTTGGGGCCCCCCATCCTGACAGCAGAAGGTGGAGGCAGAGGGAGCTGGCTTGGTGGCCTCTCATATTCCTCTGATGAGGGAATCTTGTCGTACTGGGGCTTCAATGCATACTCGTGGAGGTTGGAAGGCGACATGGAGCCCAGGGAGGAGCGCTGACTGCCCACAGTGAAGCTGCGTGCTGTTGAAACACGGCTCTTTGGAGGGGGCACGTCCTCTCTGAGAGCAAGCAAAGACAGCAACACATTTAGACAATAAGACAAGATTGTAAACTCACTTTCAGGAGTTTACCTGAGTGTGAAGATGGACAAACTGAAAATGGAAAATGATTTTATGAGGCGCTATAAATCAGTGTTTAAAGTTTGATGGTTAGCAACTGGTCTAAAAGTGTGGAATAGCTAGCACTTACTGCCAACAGTGCAGAAAAGAATGAATACATGAGGAGCCCGAGTTAAGTGAAGAGAAAAAAATAACCTGGCTCAATAAAGAGGGGGAGAGCCTGCATTGCTCAGACACAGTGACTCTGTTATGGCCTGTAGAGGCTGGGGTGAGCAACCAAAAACACTGAGGCCCTCTACTTCCCCTGCCACCTCATTAACAACAACTAATAAGCAGCGATAATCCAGTTAAATGCTCAATCAAACTGAGCCTGAAGGGCCAGAGCTCGTTTAGTCCATAGCATCATGCTGTGGTGTTTCAGCAAATGCGTGTGTCTGTGTATACAATAGAGGACCCAGTGGTCTAATCCTCTTTGTCCTGCAGCGTGAGCACACTGTGGTCTTAGACAGATTCAGTCTGCAGTAGAGTGACAGTTAGCTCAGGGGTTGTACAGAGCCTGTGAGCCGGATGAAGAGTTGGAATGGCCAGGAGGGCTTAGGGTAGGTGGCTCTGGAGGGTGTGGGACAGTCAGCAGCAGACACAACACAGGATCCACAAAGCAAACTGCACTTTCAAACTGATTAACACAGCTTTGAGGAGGAGCTTAAAAAATCTGATGGGAGAAAAAACATTTTCATTGTTGTTGGGGCTGTTGGAGACTTGTTTGTGTGCATGTGTGCCTGAGGTCATATTACATCTCAGATCTCAGAGTGATCATTACATAAGCCCTCTGGCATCTTTTGATGCTACTACTGCATCAGTCCAGTATTGTACAACCTGACACAGGTAGGTAGTATTACAATATGTTCCTCCATCAAAAAGGAGCTTTGGGCAGCTGTCAGCCAAATCTCATTGATAATGCTTTACTCAGTATACCTTATCTCATTGCAGATTTCTTTCTCGTACTTCTTCTTGTGCCGGGCACGACAACAGCAGTAGAGGATGATGGCCAGAATGATGAGGAACAGGAGGACGGCAATTATGGATCCTGCAATGATGCCTGCAGTGTTGGGGGCTGGACAACACAAGGAAAAAAGGTTTGGGAAGGGTTGGTAAATGTAGCACCCTGATTATAACTCAGGGTCTCAATTAATCAACTTGAAAAAAAAGTTCAATATTTCTTCAGCACAACAATCATCAATGTCATTTAAGCGGTTATCCAGCCTCATAAATACAAATGATATTTTCCACACCAGCACAGCTGTTACAAACTGCAGGCCATACATTTCATCTACCATCTGCACATGTAAGCACCCTATCGAATACAAAAAGAAACGGCATGTGTGTGACATACGGCTGAGGCTGAAACAGAGGTGGGATCAAAGAAGTGTGTCAAAGAGTCAGGGCAAGAGTGAGTACCTCTAGCATATGCTGCAGTACTGCAGCTTTATAACACAGTAACAAAATGACAGCCTTGTCTGAGCCTGAAAAGCAATACTCAGTAACAAGACCATACAGTGACAGGTGTAGGACCATTACAAAACACTGAAGTGTCCATGCTACTGTATTTATCAGCATTGTGTTCCAACACTCAGCTCTGGCTGCTCCATACATGAAACTGAACGCTGTAGTGTGTGGTACCAGAGCTTCAACTACTCAAGAAGCTGAACAGTAGTCTCACTAAATCCTCAACCACATCCATGACACTCATTAATCCAATTTCTAAATGCAAGGGATTTTTACTTCCACGGGGGCAGCTCTGAGAAATAGGGATATGTTATGAAACCCGGTGTCAATATGGCACCGGCTGCTATACAATCGATATCTATGGCACCGAATCACAGTGCACATTTCTGTGCCTTATTTCAGTGCCACTTAGGTGCCTATCGAACTAAATATTTGGCCTCTGGTGCTGTAAAACGGATGATACGGGCAACAGAAGCATCACTGCTCGTCACGTGCAGTGATGCATGTGAATGTGTAAGCTTAATGTCTTCAAGCCTTCGTTTTATGCAGGGTATAAATTTCATGATGGTTATATGGCCATGGTGGGTCGTTGCCCTGTCACGTGGCAGTGATGCCCTCTATATCTGTCAGAGTTACATGGCCACAGTGGCCGGTGTGTCCTCATTAGATGCATCAGATTTGAGGAGTGATCTCTGTAAATTATCGTCCATGTTCAGTCACACACATAGGTGTGTGTTTATGGATGTATTAAGGAGAACAGTGCTTAATAAAGCTGTTCACCAGTTCAGAGTGTGCATCAGTCAAGCTAGTGGTGCTACAGTAAGGTTTCCTTTAGTTTCACTGGATAAGCAGATAAAAGGATGTAATATTTGGTTCTGTCTAAAAGCTATAAGAAAACTCAGAGGCCGTAAAATGTTACACATAGTGTTGAAATGTACCGTGTTTTCTCTATTTGAAAAATTGCACCAATATTATCAATATTGACAACCAAGTGAAAACCTTAACAGGCAGCCATGATGCATTTATTTTGTTTTAACAGCTGCTAGAAGTGATGCTGGTCATTCTGTCATCATGATGCCTGATGAATATAATTATTGCACCAGTTAGAGGAATTAAGAGAAACTACATGTCCTTTCCTACTTTTTCTCCTTAATACATCCATGATTCTTCCAACCAGTGATCTTAGACAACATCCACAGAGCAACAAGAGTTAAATGTCAGTCACCATTTACTGCTTATTTTAATTTAAACATAACATATATTGCCAAAAGTATTTGCTCGTCTGCCTTCACGTGCAAACGAACTTGAGTAACAACCGATTCTTAATCCATAGGGTTTAACATGATGGACGACCCTTTGCAGCTTTAACAGCTTCAACTCTTCTGGGAAGGCTGTCCACAGGGTGTGTTAATGGGAATTTTTGACCATTCTTCCAGAAGTGCATTTGTGAGGTCAGACACTGATGTTGGACGAGAAGGCCTGGATCGCAGTCTCCGCTCTAATTCATCCCAAAGCTGTTCTATCGGGTTGAGGTGAGGACTCTGTGTAGGCCAGTCAAGTTCTTCCACACCAAACTCACTCATCCATGTCTTTAAGGACCTTGCTTTGTGCACAGTCATGTTGGGACAGGAAGGGGCCATCCCCAAACTGTTCCTACAAAGTTGGGAGTATGAAATTGTCCAAAATGTCTTGGTATGCTGAGGCATTAAGAGTTCCTTTAACTGGAACCAAGGGGCCAAGCCCAGCTCCTGAAAGACAACCTCACATCATAATACCCCCTCCACCAAACTTTACACTTGACACAATGCAGTCAGACAAGCACCATTCTCCTGGAAACCACCAAACCCAGACTCGTCCATCAGATTGCCAGACAGAGAAGCGTGATTCGTCACTCCAGAGAACACTTCTCCACTGCTCTAGAGTCCAGTGGCAGCATGCTTTACACCACTGCATCCGATGCTTTACATTGCACTTGGTGATGTAAGGCTTGGATGCAGCTCCTTGACCATGGAACCCCATTCCATGAAGCTCTCTACGCACTGTTCCTGAGCTAATATGAAGGCCAAATGAAGTTTGGAGGTCTGTAACTATTGACTCTGCAGAATGTCGGCGACCTCTTGTGCACTATGCGTCTTAACACCCGCTGACCTCGCTCTGTGATTTTACGTGGCCTACCACTTCATGGCTGAGTTGCTGTCGTTCCCAATTGCTTCCACTTTGTTATAATACCACTAACAGTTGACTGTGGAATATTTAGTAGCGAGGAAATTTCACAACTGGACTTATTGTACAGGTGGCATCCTATCACGGTACCATGCTGGGGTATGTTGTGAACACAAAACTAGTTTGTAACTTTACAGCTCAGGCTATATACATAAGCTATGCACACATACAACTCATGACATTTGTCTTGGCCTTAGTTCCCAGTCTAGTGGCCTTTGTGCCCTCTGAAAATGTATGAAATCAAAGGCCAGATGGCCTTGTACTTCAAATTATGAAGTTTATGGCTTGGTTTTAGGCTTTTTTTTTTTAACTATCAGTTCCAGTACTGTTTAGGCACCAGCAACATTTTAAAAGTATTGTTTTGTTTTAGCACCAGTGTCAGAAAAAAACCCAACGGATGCCCAACTCTATTGAGAAAAGGACCAAGTTGTGCCACTTCCACTTGTCTTGTTCCTTCATTCAGCCCTGATAAACTGGCAAATTTTTACAGCAGCAGTCACCATCATCTCCTGTTGGCTGTTGAGAAAATGTAAATAACTGAGTTCTGACTGTATGTGCACTAGCACTGATAAAGTAACATTTTCACATATGTATCATAACAGATACACATCTTTTGATACAAAATGATAAAACTCATCTAAAGCTGCAACAATTACAGACATGATCAACAATATTTAACAGCAACAACTTTCATGGATAATAATTCCAATTTAAATCAGAGTTTCATGCAAACATGCTAAACATTTAATATTTCAAGCTCCTTGAAGATGAAAATAAGCTGGTTTTCATGGTCCTAAGATGGTGGTAAATTGAATATCTTTAGATTTTAGATCTCTGACCAGATAACACCACAGTGGGCTCTAAAAAACTGATGGTGTTTTTCACTATTTTCTGATGTTCTCTAGACTAAGCAATTAACCACATAACTAGCAGATTAACTGATTTATGAAAATGACTGTTAGTGGCAACCTTTGTCTCAACAAGATGAACTGCCATGTAATTTATGTAATATATTTGTGGCATACAAAAGTTATCATGCTAATATGCTAAAATAAAATGTTTAACATAGTAAATATTATATCAGCTAAACGTCTGCATGCTGATTTTAATATTTTGGATCTGAGCATTTGAGAATCGTTTTAAGAAGTGGCCAGACAGCAGAACAAAGGGTCTGAAACAGGCTGAATACATGCCACTGTATAAACATGAAGTCAGTTAGGTACTCACGAGGTGTTACGTTAAGATACAGTGTACAGTCGTCACTGCCAATACGATTGCTGGCAGTGCAGTGGTAGGAGCCAGATGCACTGGCAGATGCATTCTTCACGATCAAGGTGCCTCCCACAGGATCTGCAGTGAGGGTGAAGAACACATCACTGAAGAGGTGACAGTGTGAAACAGACAGCGGACATGTCAAGTGTTTTCTATTTGTTTTGAGCGCTTATGGAAGTGTCCGTTACCTAACGTAGCAGAGGAGGGCAGCAGCTTGGAGTCACTGGTCTTCTCCCAGCTGTACTTCATAGGGTTGGTGCCTTCGCTAGATACACACTTCAGCGCAACATCTTTGCCTTCCTGTGTGGGACCATCAGTGTAGCACCTGGGCTTGGACGGCTTCACTGTTGAGTAGAGGGAAGTGATTGAGAGAGGTGAAAAACAGCAGACACACCCAGGTGGTCACATTAGCTCAGAACAACACAGCCCTCCTGCTGACAACTTTGTTATTTTTCCATCTAGCATGGTGTGGGCAAGTTGTGTGTATTGTGTATTACTGAAGTTGATTTCGTCCCTTGCTCAAAGCAGCAGTCATCAGTGTAATGAGAGCAGCAATCAGAGTAATTGACACAGCTGCTGTCATTACAGGAGCTGTCACTCAGGATAATCGTGATGAAGAAAGGAGCTGTGTGCCACTGGACATAAACACACGCACAAAGGGTTAAGGATGGAGGTAAAGCTTTCTGTCTTCCAGCTGAAGTGTGCAAACACTCCTCAGCCCCAGTGTTGGCAGCAGATGAGATGGGAGCTTCGAAAACAAACAGAGCTCCAAATTAAAAGCAGGCCAACACCAGTGAAACCCAGACACACAGTTAGCCAGGCGAGGAGGTGAAAGGGAGGGGAGGGAGAGGAAAAGCAAAAGCATCTATGAGGGGTGATGTTTACACAGAGGAAATATGAGGCCACAATCCAAGTCTGTGTGTTCACTGGCAGGATGCTGACCTTATGGTGTGGTAACGTGTTCTGTAACAACAAAACACTGGAGTAGGGAGTCTCTAGATCTGAACCAGGTGTCAGGCAGAAGGGGGGAGCTTAGCAGGCATAACCGTTAAGGATTAATGGTGGACTGACAGCACCGAGTCCTCCTACTAATATAATAAAACACAACGGGCTCAGGACGAAAGGGGCAAAGCAGAGAGCGAGCAGTGATGGACAGATGGTAGAGTGATGGGGCCAAGGCTGTACTGCTCTCACTCACTGGCCCGCTCTTTGCTGCTGCATTGCACCTACACACACACACACACACACACACACACACACACACACACACACACACGTGTCACACACTAAATGTCAGACAGCTATGACATTTTGAATGCATCTTTTAAAAGTGAAAGTCAACTCGACAAGTCTGAGGGCTGTAACACACAGCTCCTCACATTAGGATGAGCAGATTTATTTGTTTGAAAGATGAGGTCAAAGAAGGTGACAGAGGCTGGAGGAGCACAGAGGCCAGAGCAATACAACCAGCCTGGCTCTGTTAAATGAATAACCAATAGAGATTTATGAGGAGCTCAATGTTATCCTGTAGACAGTACAAGGATGCTGCATTCATTGTGATCAAAGGTGCACAACTTCAAAGAGTGACAATATAAGTGACTACTGGACACTAAACTCAGGCAGGCAAAATTAAAGAAATTGGCTGTTGATCTTTGCAGTGAGGTCTGAATGTGATGAGAACTGTCTGGAAGGCAGAGCTCAGTGATTGGCTGTTGAGAGTATAGGTGGGGTCAGGCCACAAACAGCTGTGAGAGCTGCTGACATGCAGTGCTGCACTGCAAGTGGGTATTCTGTTAACTTCAATGTCCTGCTGCGACCAGAGGAGAATACACAATAACAGCTGCAACTTCCTGTGAAGTGAAAAGTGAAACACAATGTACACTGCCAGCCACAGCAATACCCAGTGTATAAATTGAGGTGTTTTTATTTTTGTGCACACATAAATATGGACGTCTCCCATGTCCTGAGGACCATTTACCTTGTGACAAGATCAACATGAAGGTAAAATGCAGAGCAGGCAAGATGTCTTCGCTGAGAACATCCCTGCCCCTGGGGTCAATAGCTAGCAGTCTGTCAGCCTCTGTAGCCTCAAGCTGTCTCACACACACACACACACACACACACACACACACACACACACACACACCACGTGTCTTTCCATCTTTGTAAGGAAACTCGTTGTGACGATGCATCCCCTAGGCCCTAACACTCAACAATCATACCTAAATGTCTAGCCCCACTCTTTACCCTAACCTAAACCTAATTCTACCTAAACCTAAAACCAAGTCTTAACCCTCAAAAAGCCTGTTAAAGGTGTGAGGACTGGCTAAGATGTAATAATAACTACTGCTGATACTACAAAATAGTAACAATAATGCAGATCATAAATGACATACATTTTAAGGAATACTTTATAAGGAGAAAGAAACATTAACATTTTACTTTAACGATGGCACTTGAACCACATACTAAATGAGAGGGATGTAATATAAAAGGGTCAACATATGGAATACACAACTGTTTTTGCTTGTGCACCATATTAAAACATTACTGAACAAGGAGAATTCACATACATCCTCACAGCTACACCATCTCTCTTGTTGGGTTAACTTGGAAGTTTTGATGAAATGATAAACTTTAATGACTGGACGGCATTTAAAACCAGGCATGTAAACAACTCACAAATCAGCAGACCAGTGGTGACAACAGGAGGGAGGAGAAGCCATCACAGCAAACTGCACAAGCATATGTAATCAGCGATGACTTAAGAAGTGATTCATTTTTCCATGTTGCTTTTGATCAGATCAAATTTATATATAAAACAATCTCCCCATGGGCTTAGTCAATAATTTTTGGGTCAGCAGTAATCACAATTAATGTTAAGCTTATCTGTAGTAGTGCATCTTTTTTATTAGGTTAGGTTTATTAGGCTTAGTGGTGTCACGACATCTCAGAAACCATTTTCAACAGCTCATGTCTTTCTGGTTGAGCTAGTTGGTGCAGTGCATTCACTTTTGTACACATGAGATCATGTCAACAAGGACAGCAGCCATTTTCCGAAGCCCTTACTATCTTTAGAAAGCAGAAATTATTCCGATAACAGGGCTTAGATAACAGCACAGTACACAGCTTCTCCCACAATACACACTAGTGTGGTGCAAGTGGGTTGTTTTTCCCATATGTAAATACCAGGCGGGTTTCGGAGGTGATTCACTTTCAACATCTTTTGGTCAACTGAGCAACCAGCAAGGCTACAGTGCATGAGCGCCTGTTTGCCTAGGGAGTGAATCATCTGACTTATACGACTCTGATGTGTCACCCATCTCATCCTGTGTAATACAAAGCCAGCTGAATGCACAGACTCCATTTAGATGGATTGTCTGCATTTTTAAAAAGACAGGATAACATTTGAAAATGATCTGTAACATCCCCAATTGTTTTAATTACTTATGTCTGTTCTATATCCTTTTACTTGTGTTAATTAATGGTTCATGCTGAGTAATATTTGATCAAATTATATTATATCTTTAAAAGCTAACATGGAAATATACAAACGACAAATATTTAAACTAAAATATTCAGTTAGTTTAAAAATGGGTGCAATAATTGAAAAAACACATTTATCTGAGAAACTGCAAAAAGCAAAAAGTATTTTTCTTTATTGAGGCAATATTTGCGATAAATAATTAATCAGACCAATAATAGTTTGTGGAAAAAAGGGTGAATCAAGAACTGTGTCACAAAGGGGGTACTGCTCTACAACCAGTAGGAAGGTACTGCACTCGATTTTCATCATCTCACACGTCCTTGAGTGATTTGATGAAGTTCTACATTGTACAAACAGAATTTGCCGTGTGAGGTGAAAAAAAAAAGAGCTCTAGCCTAAAACACTGGTTTGTTCTGCTTTCACTCACCCATGACAGTCAACGTCATCTTCCTGCTGCCAATACCAGGAGCCTTCTTCACCTTACAATTGTATGGGCCTGAGTCTGATGGCTTCAGTCCTATCACGTTGATGGAGGCGTCGCCATTCTTGGGGTCAGCTGAGTTGAAGTGGACTCGGCCCTTCAGGGGAGCATAGTAGTCCTCATAGGGTCTGTCACCGGAATATATGATCACCTGGTCATAGGGAATGAGTGCAGGAAAAAGAGCTGGTTTTCAGAACTTAAACCTACTAGAATGGTGTCCTATGTCTGACTCATCTGTTTATGAAAATAAAAGACCTTGAAATGACAGTTGTGTGCTTTCTGACAGAAAAAGACTTGCTCACTGAAGCAAGCAAAATATATGGAAGAGAGAACGCACCCCCTCTTATCTCTGCAGTGCCCTTCAGCCTGCACTGCTCTGCCCTTTCTGTGCTTGAGAAGAATGAAGGAGGAACAAACAAAGCCACCACTTTGAGGCCAAATCAACACCTGCTATGTCAACAAAGAGCAGCGGCCTCCATCAAGAAAATGGCTAAAAATAAAGGCCAGGCTAGCAATAGGTAGTAGTGATGAAGGATGATAATAGAGGGGAAAAAATAAAAACAGAGAAAAAAAAGCAAACAATAAGAAGAGTTCTCATTCTTCTTTAAAAACCATGGCATATTCTTCCTCATTTCCATGGACAGTCATCAACAGGCTTTTCTGTGCCATGACCAACACCAGTCATACCCACAGCAATACCAGAGGTGAAGAGAAGAAGAACTAAACAGCGGGATGAAAGGAAGAATAACAAAGCCATGATAGGAAGTAGAGTATTCAACAGAAGCATGATAGGAGCAAAGCCAGGGAAACATTGGTGAGGTTCTAGGGAGCCTACACCAGGTTGCCTTGCTGCTCCATGTTCAACTGGAAGCCCAGGTTCTGTGGCTGCTTCCACTGGGTGCTGTGTTCATCTTGGACATATTAGCCATGTAAACAGGTAATTGTGTTAAAATTCCACTAGGGTCTCAGGGTAGGGGAAACCATGCTAACAGCAATAACAACGATATGCGAGATGAGAGCACAGAGGAAATTAAACTGCCCCAAGCTGAGCCAGACAAGACCTCCCACTTGGGCTCAACCACTTCACATCTACACATGCACACCTGTAGCAAATAAAAACATCTCCACTGTACAATAACCTTGAAAATAATGATCCAATGAGGGAAAAAAATCCCATAAAAGCCTTGGGAATAAAACTGAAAAGGGCAAATGACTAGACAAGACGGCAGGGGTTGGAAAGGACAGAAGAACGCCACTGTCTGTGCTGCATCTCACAACCAGCCACCTGGTCTAGCCATTCTCAGTGGACAGATCATGCTGCAGAGGTAAAAGTTCTCTACTGGCCAGGCACATCTAAAGATGAGGTCATCGTCATGTGATGCTGTTGCTCAGGGAGGGATGAGGAAGAGGTGCAGGTCATTTGAGAGGCAAAGCAGCTAGCTGTGATACCTGTGTAGTGAAAACTCTTCTGCAGCCCTCAGAGTGCAGTGCAGTGTATTTGTACTCCTACAGAGCTTTTTAACTTGAATGACTCAAAGTACTGCTGCCATACACTTTGCACAGGAACAGCTCTTGTCCAAACTGCCTTACAAGGTTAAAGGGGAATTGCTGCCTGAAAATGGACTTGGTGTCCTTCATAATGTAGGCTACAGAGAACAAAGGTTTTCATAATTGTTTTCCTCATTGTCCTCACAGTGGTGGCAAATACTCAGGGCTAACCCTCCCTTGAGCTAATGTGCAGCCAGGAAATGAGGGTCAAATGCAAATAAGTGTTACTGTAGGCATGCCTGGTATCTCACATTCAAGCCCAACAAAGCAACATGCATTAGCTAAGACTCACCACCCTCAAAAAAAAGGCTGTGATTATATGTGGGACATGAAAGATGAAGCAGGCCATCATTCCCAAACGCATACTGGACTACATAGGCAATGCTGTTGCGTTACTTCTAAATGCATGAGTGCAAAGAAAATGCAGCTTGGATGTAGGGTTCCTTAATTTGAATTAAATTCTTTTAAATGAAGGGTTATTTTACATGCCAGGCACACCACACAGGTCATCTCCCTGCTTGCCAAAACAGGGCCTCAGGTTCCCAGTCATGTGACTCTAGGGACTGGTCCTGTTGACTAGTTCTCATCTTAAAGTTTGACTGTTAGTGGCTATACCTTTAACAGACACCTGAATGTACTCATCTCAAGCCATGTGCATGCCAATTTTCCATCGCTTCTGTACATCTGGGAGCCTGCGACTATAAAGCCTATGACACACCAAGTGGATGGTCGGCCAACATCCACCACTAGGCCGTCAGTGAGCATCTGACCGGGCTCATCTTCCTGATGTGTCCGTCACCGCTGGCACTAATGGGACCCCATGGAAAACCACAAAAACGAAGGCAGAGAACAGGAGTACCATTTGCAACTTCTTATCAGAAAAAGGGAACATGAAGTGATGCAACAGTCTCTCTGCCTCAGCCAGTCAGGTTGAAAATGTGGCACTTGAACACCCTGCACAGCCAACAGCCACTATCACGTATTTTCTGTGCCAAGATGACAGAAATAACTCTCCCAACCAGCAGGTGGCTGGTATCTGTATTTAACATTCAGAAAGAAAAAGAGCTAGACTGCATAAACACAAGTGTAAACAAAGTAGCACTTGTTCAGTACAGCTGCTGTTTATAGCTGCTTCTAATCGAGAATATATTTGAAACGTTCTCTGCCCTTGGTATTCTGGTTGAGGAAGTAGAAAGGAGACCGTGGAGGTGAAAAACAAGGAGAAACTGCACTAAATGGGTGAAATCATGGATAACACAGTGAAAGGATGAAGGGGCTTTCCTGAACTGTTCTCTTCTTGTGCACTGATTTGCTAAGCCAAACAGCCAACCAGAGTGGCGTCTCTCACCGATGAGGTCTGACGGCGATTCAACATGCCGAATCGACCAGAAAGCCACCGACAGAGTCCAACTAGTGCATACAGTGTGGGACACCCTGGGAAGACTAGCCCTGAAAGATGCTCACTGGTGGCCTGACGGTGGCCAACGGTCAGCCATTGGCTTGGTGTGTCATGGCCGTAAGGTTTAGCTTTCACGCACATTGCCTTGCCTGCCCTGGTAATTTAGGTCCAAGCAGATTGGCCTAATTCCACTAAGCACTGTCACATATATGAAAGCAGCAACTTGCAATAAATTTGCAGCTAATTACAACAAATTTACTCTATGCATGGTTTGATACTGGTTAAAAGCTTCATGAATGTAAGTGTGTGTATATAGTGAGCACAGTCAGATAGGTCAAGGAGAACAAATTCAGTCAGGGAGAGTCTGGCCTGTTTAAATTCCAGCAAAGGTTTGGCAACATTTAATGGCTGCGCAGATAAGCCCGAGCAAGCAAAATGGCACGTAAAAAAAAAAAAAGTTAAGTGCAAAACCATTCAGTTTGGGAAGATTTGATATATTTCTACAGCTGCATTCAGCCATGAAGGAGAACAGGCACTACTAGGAACCCAAACCCTCACTTGTGGCATTGCTGAGAAACTGAAAGCAATCTAAATATTGACAGAGATCTGACTCCACCTCCCTTTTCTCCACTACTGCAGAGTAAAAACAAAATGGGGGTAACTGGTGTGTCTTTACTGACAACCCCATTCACTAGAAAAAGCAGTGACCAGAAGCAAGAGTGCAGAGCTCTACCTGGGTGAGAGCAGTGCTGGACTGGGTCAGCGGACAGAGAGAAGCCTAATGATGAACCCGTTACCTATTTCTATCATTTGGCCAAAAAAAGAAAAAAAAAACAGACACGAGTACGATCTGTAGCAACATTCTGTCTCTATGGACTTTGTGTAGTCTTCCCCTTCCATGGCTGAGGGCCATGCTGAAAAGCAGACAGCTCCCATCATTCCCACTGTATCTCAGAGCACTGCAGGGAACAAATGCTTAACAGAATATCATCTGGCTCAAATTCCATTTGTCTTGTATACAGTATGCTTCCTGTGTTACATTGCAACACCTCAACAATACACACCTAACATAGAACATTTATTGCATTTCACCTTCCGCATAATACACCAAGCCAAACAGACACAGCACAAGAGAGTAGGTTAGTGACAAATCCAGACACACCGAATCTTTTACTTTTTAGTTAACCTACAAGTGATTACCATTAGTGTTAGATTGTTGTCATTTGCTGCAAGTTATTTAGCAACTAAGTTATCATTTTTGTCAAACATAACATTAATGCTACTGCACTGAAATATGTCCTGCAATAAAGGAGATTGACATCAGACTTTTTTAATAAAGAGTCAGTGTAAGTAAAAATGACCAGTTGTCAGTCACAGACAGAGAACAAAGTTCTGCCAGATCTGGATGTTAGAGGAAATGGTCAGATGTGCTTCTGTAGTTAGCTTTACTGTAGGCTACTTACTGTGAGCCCCAAAGACAAATTGGCAAGGCACAGTTACATTAGTTCCATCAGTAAAACTAAAGACATCACCAGTTTAAAGCTGCTGTTGTTGCTTTGTGGACTTTACTGGGAGCAAATCCTAAGCATTTAAGTGAAAGTCCATTACCGAATGATAGATCTAGTTCAAAACGTGCTGCTCTATAGCTTTTCATTGATGTAGAGACAACAGACTAATAAAGTACACATGACTTTTTAGGCTTCGTCTCTTACATCCTGATCAGTAAGAGGTTTGCATATACAGTGGGTACGGAAAGTATTCAGACCCCCTTAAATTTTTCACTCTTTGTTATATTGCAGCCATATGCTAAAATCATTTAAGTTCATTTTTTTCCTCATTAATGTACACACAGCACCCCATATTGACAGAAAAACACAGAATGTTTGACATTTTTGCAGATTTATTAAAAAAGAAAAACTGAAATATCACATGGTCATAAGTATTCAGCCCCTTTGCTCAGTATTTAGTAGAAGCACCCTTTTGAGCTAATACAGCCATGAGTCTTTTTGGGAATGATGCAACAAGTTTTCACACCTGCATTTGGGGATCCTCTGCCATTCCTCCTTGCAGATCCTCTCCAGTGCTGTCAGGTTGGATGGTAAACGTTGGTGGACAGCCATTTTCAGGTCTCTCCAGAGATGCTCAATGGG